GTTTTGTTTGAAAATCTTTTCTTGTAGCAGACGCTCCGCTTGATGGCATCATCCTGATTAACTTGCGCAGTCTCCGCATAGGTGGAAGTCTTCTTCCATGTCACTTCAGAAACTCACGTCCTGTTGTTGAGCCACAGCTGTCCCCAGCGGAAGTTCTGGAGATGTCTCTGCAGCAGCCTTCAATTTCGAGTCATCCGTGCTTCTTCGCCAGACATTCATGGCCTTGACTTGAATGCATTTCAGGCTTGTGAGCTGCCTGCAGTTGCCAGGAGTCGCAACGCACAGTTTGGGATTGCAAATGGCTTTCTGCACCCGCGACTCAAGGCCCACTGATCTTGCCGAAGTACTGCAGTCTTCAGTCTGGTCAGAGACCTTGAAGTAGGGAAATTAGTGTAAGCTTCTGCTGGCAATAGTCGACATCATCCGAATGCAGTCTTTCTTTCTGCTTTGCTTGAGACCGCAGTGTGTACGTAGCCTAACATGGTGACTGCTTGTAGTGTGTTGCGTTCTTCCTCAGCACAGACGGAGGCAAGTGGCGAGCAGTGTCCAGCACATCTGCAACATGGCTGCTCAAGCACGTCCTTGACTGCGTTTGACTGCAGTCTGTTTCTTTGTCAGAGATATGCCCTGGTCATGCTGAAGGCCTTCTTCATCCTTGGTGCCTTAGTGTCTTAGTAACTGTATATTTCCCTTAGCTTCTGTGGTGAGAGCCCAAGCTTTAGCAAAGCAAAGCGATGGAGAAGCATTCAGCAAGGATCACAAAACGAAGCTAATGTGTGTTATTACTTGTTGCCCTTGCTCTTGCAACGCAAGCCTTCTCTGGTCCAGACGTGCGAGACCTTGAGACCTCATCTGGCAAGTCCGAGTTGTGAGATCGCCAAGAAAGTTTTGAGAGTACGTTTCTGTTTTGGGACCTTGCAAATCAGCATTCGAAAATGCCAAGACCTGCATATTTCCACAGAGCAAGGATATCATGACACGACGAAGGGAGACACAGCTACAGATATACTCCCAACCCTTTCAGAGTGTGTTGCTCGTAGAGCTTAGAAACCATCCTCTGGCAGGGACTTGCAGATTAAGCGTCGACTGGGCCTTCGTTCCGCATTCCACGGTCTGCCACACATTGCCCTTTGACAAGCTTGTCTGGAGCCTTCATCGTCAATGTCCCGAGTTGAAACACAGAGCTGCACATGCCCGATCCGAGCTGCGCCCTCCCAAAGAGAAGCCTATTTAATGAGGTCAGCACCATGGCGACTGAGACTGAGTCGGATGCCGAAGAGGCAGTCACAGGCTGCCCCGCACGGGCCCAAGTGCTGCGAAGTTCCGAGGGCAGTCACGGCGAGGTGCTTAAACTCTGACATTTGCACCAGATTCGCAGTAGAGTCTCGGGAAACCGATGGTGCGCATTGTTCACATTGCTCAGCTTCTGCAGCTTGACCCGCGCAAACATTCGCAGCTTCCTGTCGTAGCGAGCAGAGTTTCCGAGCTCATGTTGTGTGGTGCCGTTCCTTCGCCTAGCATTTAGGCCTCCGGTGAGGTTTTGTGTCGGGAGCCCCGGACAGTTGGAGATACCTGCGGTTACCTGCGTGTAAGTCTTAGTCTTTCTTCTCTTTGCCATTGAGATCAGAATGCCTCGTCCAGCCTGCATACGCTCAAAGAAAAGGACGGTACCAGTTGCTAAGGCTCTTGATTTCTCAGTTGCTGAGAAGTCCGTGGGCCACTTGCATGTTGAAGGCAGCATGTCGCATTGTCACTTGTCTGCTTTTCCAAGGTGCGATATGATCTTAGCGGCCCGAAACTTCGACGGGCCTGGTGAGTTGCAGAGGTGCCTTTGCACTGTGGATTTGTCGGCCCGCGGTCATCATGCCCGTAAGCTGTAAATACAAGAAGTTGTGGTATCAGCTACAGATACGCAGATATGAAACCAAGCCAACTGCAGCAGTTTGTCGATACAAACCTGCGTTGATGCGGATGAATCTGCATGGCATGCGGTTCTGTCCAGCCCAGCCACGGCCGCGGTTTGAGACCGTCTTTCAGGGCATCGCGTCAAGCAGCAGGAACGACTGAGCTGACCTGTTTGAGTGGCGACTGACCCTTCGTTGTTCACTACAGTGCCTGATGCAATGAACAACCATAGAGGCCTAGCGACTGTGGCATCCGTTGTTGGTGACTTTTGTCCAGAGTTTGCTTCCCACTTCTTGCCTTTGGCCGGCTTGGCTGTATAAGCCCAAAGTCCCTAGACGCAGTGATTTTCAGCGTCAGTCAGCACAGGCTGCTTGCTTTCTCGTCGAGTTCCGGTGTGCAAAGGTTTTGTCATATTCGAGGCAGCTGCAGTGACAACAGTCGTACTGTGCCAGGGGCAGCAGCAGCAGCAGCAGCAGCAGCAGCAGCAGCCGCAGCAGCAGCAGGAGGAGGAGGAGGAGTAGTCGTGGTTGTCGTGGTTAGTGGGGGCTGCAGCAGCACCAGCAGCATCAGCTGTCCAAAGCATTTCAGGTTGTGGTGTCATGATTTGATGCAGCAAGTTCCGAGAGACGAAAGCCACCAAAGCACGAAGGTGAAATCCAGGTCATCCTGCTGTTCGATTCGAAGGTGCCTTCTCCAATGCTGCTGATTACTTGTTGAATGTCCTTTGTATCTGATCGTGTTTCGTCCCTGGACTCCCTGGAACGGGCAGCAGGTTCCAGGCCTACGTGAGCGCGATGCTCAGAAATTGGCCTTCTCGCATTTGTGAATGAAGCTCGGCTCAAGGTTAAGCATTCGCCTTTCGCATGTGGGGTCATGCCTTTGCTCGCTGTCGTCGGTTAGACTGTGATTTGCTCAGGCTGGTCTGTTGATCGTGACTGTGAAGTCCCAGGTTATGCTGGCGCACGGAGGGAACAGTGTCATAAACTCTCGTTGTCTGGTTAAACTTCACAGGCTGTGGTTCCGTGTTGGAACACCCTCTTGCTTGCCCTTTCTGTAGCCTGGCGAAGCCGGGGAAATCAGTCGCTGGTCTCAAGATCAGCTTGTGAGGCTGTTGAGACATGTGATCTGGCAGGAGGTGCATGGTGCTAGACAGTAGGATCTGATAGTTCACGAACATGGCATGTCAACGGCCTCAATCACACGTAGATTTGGCATGCTTTGCCATGGCTGGTTCGACCTCACAGCAGCTTACTCTCAGAGAATTGCTGCCGAGACTCACCAGTCATGGCAACGCTTTTGTTCCCAGCTGGTCATACGAACCGGTAGCTGTCTTGCTGCTGGTGCCAGTGCAGTGCTGGACCGCCTGCTTTAGAGCTTAATCGTGCAGTGCCTTGGTGTGACGCGTTGATTCCTGTTTGGCATGCAGACACACTCCTTCCAGATACGCGAGTGTTCCAGCACCGCAGATGACCCAGCTTCGGTCATCAGGCTTGGACCCATAAGAAGCGTGCACACACACACAGAGAACTCATTATGGGAAGTGTCTTGCGACAGCTTTCCTGAAGAACTCTGGCCTGAGCGATACTGGATGGGTTGTCGCCAAAGGCAGCACAACCAGGTCTTGTAACACCGCGAGCATTTGCTTGAGGTGGGTGATTTCTCCTTCGTGCCTGTTGGTGTGAGGTGAGTTCACCATTCCCAGGCTGTGGGGGTTTTCAATTGTATTGCATGAGTCGATCGGGACACTTTCCCGAACGACTTCCCGCTCTGCAGCATGGCAAGAGAATGTCAACACCATTCTCTGCTAGCATGTTGCCGTTTACCTGGCCACAATATTCATATTTGAATAAAAGTAGCCGACGACGGCATGATGCTGGCCGATTTCGGCAGGTAGTGCGGCTCCATGCTGCAAAGGAGCGGATTTACTGAAATATTAAGAGAGCTTTGCTTCGGCAGAGGCGTGACATCTCGAGCACAGGGTCAGCGTGTCGAGACTTCACGGCTCCAGCTGCTGTTTGTGCTGTCGGATACTTGGCAGCAGCTACGCACTACATCAGTCGTGGAGACGCTGGTTGGAGAGCACACCTGTCCTGTATCGAGAAGGATACAGTATCATCTGTTTCTTTGCGCATGTAGGCTTTGAAGCGACACTGCAGAGCCAGAAGTGCCTGAGGTGACGTTCAGCCACATCTCCTTCGGTTGTGACACAGCAGGCCAAGACAACCGACTTTGTTGCCGATTGACTCGGACGATCATTTGTGTGCAGGGTACCAGAAGGAGCTTGCAGTTCTTCTTTGGCATCGCAGCAGAGACTATGCGGACAGGAAGCGCCACTCGGCTGCCAAGGAATGTTGTTGACTGCTTGACGTCCATCTTTGATTTGCCAAGGACTGCGCGCTTGCTTTGGAAGAAGTTTTGGGCGCATAGTTTTTACAATGTACAGCAAGGCATCGGAAATGCATGCACGCGGGCCTTCAACTAGGCAGAATTAAGGAGCTCCATGGCAAGGGCGAAAGGGTTGCCCGGCAAATTGTTGCAGCTCCACAGAGGAGTTTGTGCAGAAGTGCCCAGACGACATCAAAAGGGAATTTGGCCATTGCTGATCCGTTTATTCTAACACTACATTGCCCTAGCCTACCCTGCCCTTCAACAAGGCACTTTAGGAGAAATACTTGGTAGCGTCAGTGCCCACAGTTGACGAGCGCCCTTCATCTCATGCGAGCTTCAACAGCCTGCTGTCTGTGCACAGGTTGCATAGAGGCGATGAGTCTATGCAATGGGTGGAGGTGGAATGATACCCAAATAATCCTCGTGACTCTCGAGCCTCTGCATATTCGGCTCTCGCTGACTGCGTCATGTTTGGTTGCCTGTGAGCACATGTCAGGTTGACCTGTGTTGCTGAGTCGGTTTGCATCAGTCATGTCTTGGTGTCAAAAGGTATTCCAGGTTTTCAACAGGTCAATAGTTATTGCACATTGAGAACAAGCACGTCTTTATCGTTTCTATCGCGCGATCTACCGGCACTCTGCGGCAACGCTCTCACGGCACATGCCTGATTCCAAGTTTGACGGCAAAAGATATGCTAGCTGGTTTCGATGGGATTAAGTCTTCTACGGTCCTTGGTGTGGCTGATGAGCTGCTGGGATGCAGCTGCAGATACGATCAATGCCGACATTGTGTTCGTTGCAAATTCCTGGCTGCTTCGCCGCGGCCTGCGCCTTCGACGTGGGACGGATCTTTTCACTCTTCCCAGGTGCTGGCTTCATGAGGATCCGTTCTTGTACAGAATCTACGCCTACGACCACTGCTGCTGTGATCCATGGGAAAAGTCGCACCGATGTTGGACAGACATCGATGGCATGCGCCCTCGTGCCACAAAGCGCCACCACTGTTGTGTGTACACCTATGGGCCAGGCACGTTCTGCATGAATCGCGAACATGTCCAGCTGAGCTATCCAGGCTTGCCTCTCATAAAGGCTCGCTTGCAGCCGTCAGATTATCCGTGGAAAAGCTTCTTTCCCAACCTGCTAACTGAAGCGCAGTTGTTGCAGCCTTTGCACGGAAGAGACGGTGCCCCTGGTCCTGCTTTGCGTGTTGCTGACCTTGGTGCTGGCAAAGGCATAGATTCCATTGCTCTTTCTCTGATGGGACATCGTGTTGTCTCTTTGGAGTTAGACCGACTGGAGCTCCAGTTGCTCGAGGCGAATCGCATGCTCAACAACGTCTCCTTCGAGATCGTAGCCGGAGACTTCACACTGACAAATCAGACGGCAGAAGCACTCCTGGGAGCCAACGAGGCGTTGCCCTTTGATGTCATTGTGGCGAACTACCTGCTGCACCTGCCGACCGAGCAGTTTCTAGTTTTTTTGGATTTGGTTGACCGAGTTGGAGCCCAGGACTTCCTTTGGCTCTGCCCGTGTGGCCAAGAAGTTTACGACTTATATGACTACCAAGCAGTGAACCGTGAGCATGCCTTTGCTCGCTTTGAGCTTGTTGATGCTGTGACCTTCGTAAACGTGGGAAATGCTTTCGAACCTGAAGTTCAGCTCGGCCAGACCCGCATCTGTGCGCTGCAGCGCAGGCGCCCGGCTTCTGCCTGGCGCTATCGCTGGCCTCGCGCCTTTGCCAAGGCCGTCCTGCGGCCGGGGCCGGACTGCATTCCGCCGCTCTGGCGCTGCTCCCCCGACCATTTCATCACTATGTAGCCGGTGCGCAGCCGCCCGCAGCTAGCCAAAAGGAAACCTGTCGGTGTCTCTCCAGATCCCAGGCCGCAGCCCAAGAGGCAAACATCTCAAAGGCAACAGACAGCTAGCGCATTCGATTCAAAAAACCAGAAGACACCACGACCCCAACGACCCCCGAGCCTGACATCATTTACCCACGAACCGAATAGATTCAGATAAGCACCGCACCTGAGATTGGGGTTCAGCATGTTGATGCGCGTGATCTCCCAAACCTGACATCTTTCCTGCCTCGGCTCCAGTATCTGATCGGTGGTCCCAACGAAGCGATGTTCATGCTTGATTTTGAGATTCTGGTGTTACGAGCTCAGCTCATCGCATGTTCAAAGGCAGTTCAAGGTCCACAGTAGACTCAGGGATCGTTGTCCGTTCGAAGCCGTACGGCCATGCGCATTCTTGGTTGGCAGTTCCTCCAGTGGGCTTCCTTGGCTGGGGCGCTGCCTGCACTTGTACAGCAGCTCAGCTCTTGAAGGTCGAGGACCATAGCCCGGTGATCCTAGACCCACATAACGACATGCAGTCGTACAGAGCATTTGCTGGTATGTCCCAGCCTTCTCACGTCTGGATGCCCCTGTTCACAGCATCTGCACTTACGATTGGGACACGACCCTGGAGCTTACACCATAAAAAAGCTCGCTTTGCTCATCACACACCGGAGGTGTCTCCCGTTGGGACCCCTTCGTGCCTTCTCTCTGCCTGCATTCACTCATCACAAAAGACGATTTCTTTAGCTACCTGTATCGCGGCAATGCCGCAGGTGCAGCTGCTCTTATTAATATTAGATCTTGCCAGACATCGGTCAGCTCCCTGCTCAACAGCTGCTTTAACATCCTGACTGCTGAATGTCCATGTTGCGTGCCATGTACTCGCAGTTGTCTCTGCGACGAGGTTTGCAGGTTCAAGTGTACCAGCACGGAGACAACACTTCGAACTTGAGTGGCTGAGAGAGCAAGGGTGCAGGGCTCGCCGGCTGATCGGTCAAAGCCCAAAGCCGATGAAGCCGAGGCAAGAAACGAGAAGCCTGCGCGGTAAATCCCAGAACGTGGATGCCTGGCCGTTCACAGGCAGCAGTGGTACCAGGCCGAAACTCTGGGAATTTCGTGGCATACCGGCAAACTGGATGCTAATTGCCGGAATCGAAGTACAGTAGCCCCGCATGCAATTTCTAGAAGGGTGTCCTAGTCCTAGATGAGTGTGATCCCGGTGCTGCTAGTACTGCTAGTCGGTCCGCAGGGGCTTGACTTTTTTGGACATGTCTCTTGCATGGACAGCTTGCTTCATGTTGTACGGAAGTGTGCAGGGTTTCCCGGATTCGGACAAGAGCTTTCCATGACTTGGGTGTTTGAGTTCAGGGAGATTGGGCACTTGTCATCTGTTTTTCAGCCTGTCACGGTTCGTGTGGTCCTCCATCGGTGTTCCAACTCACATATCTTCGGCAGCTGGAAGCTAGCGCACCAAGGAACCTGCTGCTAAGATGCTGTGGAAATGATCAAGACTCAAGACAATGTATGATGTTCACGGCTTTCATGCAACCTTCATGCATCAACAACGTCCAAGCGTGCGGAGTGATGTGTACCGGCAGTGCTTGGCAGCACCGACGACCGCCTGGCGATTGCGGGGCACACAGCTCAAACCAAAACACACACCCTGCAAGATCTGACAGTCCAAACCCGAAAGCGCATGGTGCCTTCGAGCGCGAGAGGCAAAGGCATCCAGGCGTCCTTTTCTGGCCATGGAAGAGCCCGGAAGCCGGAAGCATCCTCAAGCCTGGAAGTGAAACCTCGAGCCTGCCAGGGCCCAGCAGGAGCGAGGACTCTCGCGCCAGCTCCACAGACGAAGACGGCGGAGAGACTCGGAAAGACTTTAGGAGCTGGGGGAATGGGGGAATAGCTGGGCACAAGGGTTGAAGACTTGCTTGCAGGACTCGGGCTTTTGTGGTTTAAGCACGTCGGGGTTGCATGTGTGCTGATGTGTCTTGATGTATTCGTCAGGGCCCAATTCCAGACCTGGAATGTTCTCTGTTGAACTGTGCTCATCACCAGCAAACACCGGCCTTGGAACGTTGAATCCCCGGTCCCACAACCAAGCACTGCGCAGAAACACCTCTCACCGTACCCTTCAAAGTTGATTTTCTGTGTCCTTCTTTGCCCAGGATCTGTTCGACCAACTCTCGGAGGTCAAGACGATGTGACAGGATTGCACTGGCCAGTGAGCGTACCATGGAAGCATTCGGGAGATTGCAATGTACGTGGTCCGTGCATAAGCAGTCCGAACTACCCGTCCTACTACGGCAACAAGAAGGGGTGCAACATCTCCTTGCCGAAGCCGTCCGTGCTTCGTGTGATGGACTTTGCCACCGAAGCAAAGTATGACGTTCTCACGGTGAACGGTATGAGATACTCGGGGGTCTCAGGAGACAGCTTCACGGAGCCCGCGCTGGCGGTCGGTGACGTCTTCGTTCTATGGACGGACATCGCGTGGGAATCGGATTATTATCGCGGCCAGGACAGCAACATTGGTTGGGAGCTTTGCGTCGAGCCACTTCCATCATGTTTCGATGGTCTGTCCCTACACCCAGCACCAGTGGCAGATTGTCCTCGTGATGGCGAGGTGTCCCTTATGGATTGCCAGACTGCTGAGCCAGGTGCTCTGTGTTTGGGAGGCAAGGACTGTGGCACCAGGGGCGACATCAACAACTGCTATGACAGCCTGCTTACTCATCCGCCTACGCTTGATGTCTACAGGAAGGGCAACGGCACACGCAGAAGCACGGCAACCGAAACAAGCACATCTGTGAGCAGCACGACGATGACAACCACTGTTGGACGCATCGTCAGGAACGGTGGTGTGTGGCAAGTGACGGGCACATGCGTTATCAACGATCTTTGCATAAGCAGTCCGAACTACCCGTCCTACTACGGCAACAAGAAGGGGTGCAACATCTCCTTGCCGAAGCCGTCCGTGCTTCGTGTGATGGACTTTGCCACCGAAGCAAAGTATGACGTTCTCACGGTGAACGGTATGAGATACTCGGGGGTCTCAGGAGACAGCTTCTCGGAGCCCGCGCTGGCGGTCGGTGACGTCTTCGTTCTGTGGACGGACATCGTGTGGGAATCGGATTATTATCGCGGCCAGGACAGCAACATTGGTTGGGAGCTTTGCGTCGAGCCACTTCCATCATGTTCCGATGGTCTGTCCCTACACCCAGCACCAGTGGCAGATTGTCCTCGTGATGGCGAGGTGTCCCTTATGGATTGCCAGACTGCTGAGCCAGGTGCTCTGTGTTTGGGCGGCAAGGACTGTGGCACCAGGGGCGACATCAACAACTGCTATGACAGCCTGCTCACTCATCCGCCTACGCTTGATGTCTACAGGAAGGGCAACGGCACAACGCGAACCACTACCACTACAACCCTCACGACCCAAACCAGCACTTCCGTGAGCAGCACGACGATGACAACCACTGTTGGACGCATCGTCAGGAACGGTGGTGTGTGGCAAGTGACGGGCACATGCGTTATCAACGATCTTTGCATAAGCAGTCCGAACTACCCGTCCTACTACGGCAACAAGAAGGGGTGCAACATCTCCTTGCCGAAGCCGTCCGTGCTTCGTGTGATGGACTTTGCCACCGAAGCACAGTATGACGTTCTCACGGTGAACGGTATGAGATACTCGGGGGTCTCAGGAGATAGCTTCACGGAGCCCGCGCTGGCGGTCGGTGACGTCTTCGTTCTGTGGACGGACATCGTGTGGGAATCGGATTATCGCGACAGCAACATTGGTTGGAAGCTATGCGTCGACCCCCTTCCATCATGTTTCGATGGTCTGTCCCTACACCCAGCACCAGTGGCAGATTGTCCTCGTGATGGCGAGGTGTCCCTTATGGATTGCCAGACTGCTGAGCCAGGTGCTCTGTGTTTGGGCGGCAAGGACTGTGGCACCAGGGGCGACATCAACAACTGCTATGACAGCCTGCTCACTCATCCGCCCACGCTTGATGTCTACAGGAAGGGCAATGGCACGACTCGAACCACGACTGGAACAACCCTCACGACGCAAACAAGTATCACCCACACAAGCTCCACCAGAACGTTCACGACACAGCCAGCCCCTGCTTATCTCGAGGAGCTTGGCTGTGTTCAGCGAAAGTTGTGGATCACACCATCGGCTTACAGGTAAGTGTGTTTTCGAGGTTTCTCCAGTAAACGCATATCTAGACATACATACCATACACATGTAGATGTCGGTATTAAAATGTGCTTGCCAACAGTTTGCGAAAGCAGTCCAGGTGTGGTCGGTGTCGGGGCCCTGTGCTGTCATTGCGGGCTGCGTGCAAAGCCCGCACTTCCCGGACCAATATTCCGATCGCGAATCCTGCACTGTATCGCTACCGCGGCCACATACGTTCCATGTAAGCGTGTTTGCGACTGAGAGCTACGATAAGCTTCAGCTGGATGGTGTCCCATACTCGGGTCGGGAACTTGCAGCTGGTGATTCTCTTTATGTGCAGTCATCAATTCAGTGGACATCAGATGCATCCATAGTTGATGCAGGTTGGAGGCTTTGCCTGGCAGGAGCCGCTACAGACATGACAGTGCGTGACCCCGGGCTCTCAACAGCGTGGGTCATTTGCCTTACCGTGTTGCTTGGATTTACCCAGAAGTTTCCCTAGGCTGAGCCAAGGGAAAATTGCTCAGGTTTGGTAGTTATTTGTAGGACTCTGCCCCTGTATTTGTAATTGTAGTCCTTGCGGTTCCATGCAAGGCTGTCCACAGCGGTGCTTCTTGTGCCCGTGGTGTTGTGCATCGCACGTGCTCGAAAGGGCCAGAAGGCAGAGCCAGTGCAACGGGTTGAATGTTCGGGTGAAGCTGATGATGTCATGTTGTTTTCGCCCATCCGTAAGATCAGACCTCGTGACTTGTGTCCTCAGCTTATCGAGAGCCTCGCCTCGCAGGCCCTTCCCAAGGAGGCTGTGGAGGTGGAGGCGATTGAGGCGACAACAGGCACTGCAGGCAGCACCCCTGCAGGAGAGAAGGATGCTGTTTCGGTCTCTCGAGAAGACCTGGACAATGCCATGAGGGCTGTCATCGCAGCCGCAGCCTTCAATGCATTGGATGTCAACGGGGACGGCACGATTTCAAGGATGGAGTTTGCGCAGCACTGCGCCGCAAAAGGAGTAGCCCCAGCAACTGCAACAGCTGCTTTTGCAACGCTGGACCTCGATGCTGATGGCGTCATTACCCAGCAGGAATTTGCAGCCCATGTGCTGCAGTCGGGGTTGGCCCACCCGCACGTCGAATGTCAGGGCACATGGGTGATGGACCTGCCCAGCGGTAGCAGGGCCATCGCGACAGTAGTCGGAGCGCAGGTCTCATGCGCCGGTCAAGGCTTTGTCTTGCAAGGGGATGAGGACAGCACGTTTTTCCACTGGCAGGATGGCACTCGTCAGCAGCTGACAGTTACTGATCGGGATGGACTTGTCTGGACAAAGGGAGGTAGGTGGCCCCAGGCCCTTCGATGGACCCGTGTGCCGTCCTGCCCGATGGCACCGGATTGCGTGAACATGGAGCTGAAAATCAGCGAAGGTGATGAGTGCAGCAAATGTGGAAAGGAGCCACGGGCAGGATCTTGGGTGTGGATGTGCCCCTCGCACGACACATGCCTGTGTCCGCAGTGCGCTCCAGTTCCCCGGGAGGCGGTCCTGGGGATTTCGGCAGCCTGGGTGATCGACCGCTTTCCAGAGATGGCAAGATCAGCGACGGGAATGGCCAATCCCAATTTCCACGAGATCTGCCCTGCAGTTGCCATGGGGCCGCGAGGGCTTGGCTTCGGCAAGACTTGTCCGAGAGATGGCCGACCTGGATGCAGTGTTGTAGATGCCGTGGAAGAAGAGCACAGAGGACGTGCAACTCACTTTGTGTCTTGGTGCTGGGCGTATTCGCTGAACGACTTCGTCAGTGCGCTGCAGTCTTGGGTCGTGACGGAAGACGTGCATGCCGGTGACGTGTACCTGTGGGTATGCTTCTTCTGCAACAACCAGTTGCTCGTTTCATTCTCTGGCAAGCTGTGCACGGCAGGTTCTCACTCTCCCTCTCCCTCTCCCTCTCCCTCTCACCTTGCCTCTTGGACTCTCTCTCTCTCTCTCTCTCTCTCTCTCTCTCTCTCTCTCTCTCTCTCTCTCTCTCTCTCTCTCTCTCTCTCTCTCTCTCTCTCTCTCGCTCTCTTCCTTTCTCTCCTGCTTCCATGCCTTGATCCTGAGGTATCGCATGCTCGAGTCCGGAGGCCAGACTGGGTCAGACGAGCTGACTTCACTGCTTGAGAACCATCTGCTCGAGGCTGGCCGGATGATCCTAATGTTGGACAACTCGGAGAATCCGAAGTTTACATCAAGGGCTTGGTGCTTGTTTGAGAGCTTTGTGAGCATCGACAAGAAGCTCCCAGTGTCAGTAATCTTGCCTCAAATGTCTCGAAGTCAGATCCGGGTGCGGGATACAAGAAGCGGCAGATTGCGCGATGCTCTTGAGGGATTGGATGTGAGACATGCTCGCGCCTCGAACAAGCTTGATGAGGATAAAATCAAGAGGCTCATATTGACAACCGTCGGTGTGGACCTTGTGAACCAGTCAATCAGAGACTATCTGCTGGACTCTAGGTGCAGGTTTGTTTTGAGAAAGTTTTTATATTTTCAAACATGACAAGACGGTGTTAGCGGTGCTGACACCTGGATCCCCCATGCAGTCCAGGAATGGCTTTCGACAGCAGGGTCGGACAGCCCATGCGAGCACGAAGGATTCTCACAGCTTGCTGGGTGCTACTGGCTGTGTAGCGACAACCAGGCAGCCCAGGCAGCCTGAAATCTTTGCTCGAGTCCAAGAACACAAGACTGCTGGACCGATGCTTGGGCATGTGAAGTAGAAGGGAGTCTGCGCGAATTAGCGAGTCGTAGACTCATACCAGCTGAGCCACGGGCAGATGTCGTGCAGCCTGGCTGGGCTACCGTGCACGGCGATCCAGCAGGTAGGCAGGCTGGAAAGATGCCATGTGGGCCCCTCGAGGCACAAAGTCCTTTGCGGGGTCACCAGTTTTAATCCTGAGACTCTGGCTGCTCTGTGGCGGGTCTTCGCTCGTTCATGCCGGCATAAGCCGCTTGCATTCAATTGGTGCTTCTGGGAGCAATCGCCTCTCTCACCGGTCCAAGCATGTCGAAGCCTTAAAAGGCCCAAGATGGTCCGAACTTTCCGGTACCAGACGTGGTGTCGCGATCGCGACACTGCGCCGCAGCTGTACAGGGCTACGGTGGTGTAGCTGAGTGGTGGCATCTTCGAACCTTATGAACCTTAAGAGAGTATCTTCGTCAGCAGCTGGCCAGACCTGCGCCACAGTACTGACCCACCAGCTGGTCGGGAGCCTTAGCACAGTGTCGCCAAGACTCAAGCTGCCCCACACGAGCCAAAACCCACGCATGTTGCGGCGTTGGGAAACAACATCTCAGTATGTGTCGCGTTCCGTGAGCGATGACACGGCGGCAGATAGCTTAAGACCTTCGAGTTAACCTGCACGAGTTTGGGGTTCGAGGGCTCGTGTTGTCGGCCCATGCTGTGCTCTAGCCGTTTTAAGTTCAAGCATGTTCAAGCCCTGAAGCCGAGCCAAGCTGCAGCAAATGGGTGGGTGCCACCACCTGCTCCGGCTCCTGGCTGCTCTGCTGGGGGTGGTGCTCGCCAACAATCTGACCGTTGAAGATGTGCACACTAGCGGACACCACGGTCGTGGCCTGAGAGGACATTGACTGGGCTTCTGGGTTGAGCTTCCAAGGTATTGTCAGGTTGGTGAGCATGGATTGGTTAAAGCACCTTCATGGCTGTGGGGGTGCGTTCCTGGGCCTAGTCTGGGCCTTGAACGTATTCTTTGCATGCCCCAGGAGACCCTGCAACACTTTGGCTTTTGGTCCCTTTGACAGTGCTTGCTGCTCTACTGGTGCTCATGCTCGTCTTGATTCTGCTGCTGTGCTCACCAGAAGCAGCCTTTTTTTTTGCCTCTGGCTTGGGGAGGATTTTCCAATGCATCCTGGGCCTGGGGGTTTTGACGTTTCGGGCACTGAGGATGTTGGCGGCCTTTCTGGTGACCTGCTTCGTAGTCTCTGGGCTGTCATTGCTGCTTTGTGCATGCATGCTGGCGGGCTTGGCGCTGCTAGCGTCATTGGCGTTAGTTCTGGTTTTCGGCGCGTTTCCCATCCTTGGCTTCACCGTGTCCTTCGCTTTCGCAGCCGATGCCGTGTGCGCTGCCCGTCACAGCTGGAGAAGCTACGTTCCCACGGTGAAGGTTGTGAATGGCCTCCGCCCACTTCTGGACAGAGCCAAATCCGCTGCTAGCGCACAGCTGCGCACGCCGCAAGCAGCGCTAGCAGCGCTGCAGGGCTCTTGGGCAATCGAGCTGCCAGGTTCAGGGGCCGGGGATTGAATGTTGAACCCACGTCTTCTGGACACCTGTGCCATCACCTGGTTGCATGACCATGTCAGGGTTCCTGCCACTCAGACAGGTGGTGGCCTCACGATGGGAAGCGTGATGGACGGTCGGGTGTGCTGCTGGGGTCAGAGCTTTCCTCTCCAAGGCGATCCCAAGAAACCTTTCTTGGAATGGCCCGACGGAACGTGCCAGGAGCTTCATGTGGAGTTGAGTACCTCTGTGCAAGATTGTTCAAGCATTCTCAACCCTCAGCCTCAACAACCAAATCCCGCCAAGTCTTCACCGCATGAATCTGGGGTTGAAGGCCTATTCGCGACATGACGCCAGGAGCTGGAAGTTGCAGAGCCAATCCTGTTGACCTGGAGTTTCCCGGTTTGCACTGAAGACTCGAACTTTGGAGAATCGTCGCCTCAAGCTTGCATGGCCAAAGGAAGAACGATCATTGCATTATCGTTTTTTCGTCTCTAGTCGTCCGGGACCCCCCCAACCCGGAACACCTGCAACACCCGCAGCACCCGCAACCCGGAACACCCGGAACCCGGGACCCGGCCCCCCTTCAATGCAAGACAGCACCACCATCACCACCATCTCCACCATCTCCACCATCACCACCATCACCACCATCACCATCGCCATGAAAAGCATCACCATCTTATCGCCGTAGTCACCAAATGTCGCCATTCTCCTCTCGCTCGCATCACCATCACCATCAGTGCGGGCAAATATCTGTTGCGGTGACTATATTGGGGCTTGCTGCGATGGAGAGCCGGGGCCCCTTCCAAGTCTCTTACAGAAAGCCCTGACCCCTGGCTGCCTTGGCACCCACGGTGCTGGCATCCCCCCAGGTACCCGGGCTACATGGCCGGAGACGCTTCGCTGGATCCGTGTCCCATTGTGCCCACGTCCGTTGCAAGCCGAGGTGCGCAAGCGAAAGCCTAGGCAACTAGCAAGCACGGCAGGGATCTCAAGCAAAATTGACTGCGACATCGGGTGCCGACCAGCTCCCGGACGCTTCACAGTTGAAAACACAATACGCTTGGGTTGTGCTCGTCCAAGCCCTCCCTATTGTCCTGCCTGTGTCTAGGGCCTACATATTCGGAGCATGTTGATCTTGTCCGAGCTTGCGAACCTAAGCCCTGTGCCCAATCCGCAAGCGAGAGCAAGAGTTCTGCAAGTTGAGCCCCGGCCCGAAACACGAGGCTGCGGAGCTTCACAAGGATCACCACATGCAGCTGTGGAGAGCCACAGAGGGTTACGTTTGCAGCAGATGTGGCCTGGATCAGCCCAAGGGCTTGACATGGGTTTGCCCCTCGCACGACACGTGCCTGTGTCCGCAGTGCGCTCCAGTTCCCCGGGAGGCGGTCCTGGGGATTTCGGCAGCCTGGGTGATCGACCGCTTTCCAGAGATGGCAAGATCAGCGACGGGAATGGCCAATCCCAATTTCCACGAAATCTGCCCTGCAGTTGCCATGGGGCCGCGAGGGCTTGGCTTCGGCAAGACTTGTCCGAGAGATGGCCGACCTGGATGCAGTGTTGTAGATGCCGTGGAAGAAGAGCACAGAGGACGTGCAACTCACTTCGTGTCTTGGTGCTGGGCGTATTCGCTGAACGACTTCGTCAGTGCCCTTCAGTCTTGGGTCGCGACGGAAGACGTGCATGCCGGTGAAGTGTACCTGTGGGTATGCTTCTTCTGCAACAACCAGTGCCTTGGCACTCACCGGAACCCTACTCCTGTTGTCATAGCTAGGGACTGCTACTGATCTGGTGGCCAGCGTTTGCTTTCAAGGTATCGCATGCTCGAATCTGGCACGCGGACCGGCTCGGATGAGCTCAAAGCTGTGTTTGAGACTCATCTAGGTGCAACCGGACGGATGCTTCTGATGTTGGACAGTTTCGTGCAGCCAAAGTACATATCGAGGGCTTGGTGTATATTCGAAAGCTTCGTGTGCATCGACAAAAAGTTTGCGATGTCGATCATTCTCCCAGAGAGCTCGGGTGCCAAGTTCAAGCAAACTTTGGACAGCGCAGGTGGGCCCTTGCCACGTCGAGTGTGCAGACACTGACGACCAGAGAGTACTGTATACCAACTCATATGCTCTTCCGACGTAGCCCGATTTATTTAATACTGAGTTCTCGACGCCGCAGACTATGGAAGTCACGACAGCTAGCGTAGCAAGGCTTTCGTTGGATCCGTGTTAGCAACTTGACCGGATCGCTGGCCAAACCGCAAGCACCGCAAGACCTTCCCCTCCTCCCGCACGGCGACACCACTACCACCACAAGCAAAAGCACCAACAGGAACAACAGTGTAAACAACAGCAGCAGTAACAGCGGCAGCAGCAGCAGCAACAAGAGCAGCAGAAACGACAGCAACAGACCCAGACAGCAAACCGCCCCCACAGATCAGGCAGAAGCAGACTCTGAACCCGTAGGCGGCCAAAAGCCGTTGCCTCGTATAAACTGGACCCTGTCTCTGCGGGCTACAAGTTGCTGTCAGCTGTGAGGTTGAGAGTCACGACCTCATCAAGCCCCGTAGCCTTCCATGCGTGGCCCCGATCCCTCAGTTGTTTGGTTTTCTCGATGAATTTGCCACCCGCTTTTTCGTCTTACGCCATGTGTGTTTGTTTGCTATTCCTGTTATTCATAGCCTTCCGTTGTTTCTTGAAGGCCGCTGCTTTCCGTGCCTTCCACTTTCGCGTTTTGCTGCTATTGGTTTTCGTGTTTATTTATGGCAGTTTTTTGCTTTCTAAGTGGCGTTGTGGGCTGTCTTCTGGACGTCCTGCCACGAGCCTGAGAGCAAGCTCAGCATAGCCACCGACATCGAGGCCGCCGAAGCGAGAGAGATCTATCACACAAGGGACTCCGCCACCCGGCTGCTGGAAGTCCTACTGTTAATAAGTTTTGCCCGAAACGTTTTGACGGAAAGTTTGACCGGGTTTCCTTTCTTGGTTTTTGAGCTGGTGAGTCGGGAGGCTGGGCTGGGCTGGATTTGGGGGGCATGGCTTGAAGAACTGGGCTGGGGATGCTGGGCCCGGGGCGGGGGGGGGGTTTGGAGGAGTTTTGCGACTAAAACATGATTTTGGGAGCCTCACTGAGTGCTGGGCCAGGCTGGGGCTGGTGGGGCTGGGCGGCTGGGGCGGGGTTGGGGTCGGGCTGGGTGGGGTCTGCGGCGGGGTCGAAAATGGGGGGAGTTTTGTTAGGAATTTGGGGGAGCTTCCTGACTCGACCCTGGAGGAAGGAGGCCGGGGCTGGGTGGCGCCGGGTTTTGCAAACCAGAAATTGAATTTGCTTTGCGACTGAAACCTGATTTGGATGTGGGGGGGAGGTTTGTGACTCGACCCTGGTTCTGGGCGGTTGGGCTTGAAATTGACGGTTTAGGGGTTCAACGCAAGCAATGACAAGCAATTTCTATTTATTTCTTTTTTGAGGGTTTAGGATTTGCGCACATCACATTGGGCTGCCGAGCTGTTTGACGTCCCCGGCTGCTCGGCTGGTCCTGTCGGTCATACCGGGCATTTTTGAGGAGTCATTGTCTCCTGTGAGGCCTGATGCTCAGGTGGCACGGGCACGCGGCCCCGGACGTGCAGACGGCAAGACTACGATCAGGGCTTCTGTGGTTCTTGGGTGTCTTCTCATTGCACCAAGGCCGGGTGGCGGGACAAATCAAACCCCGAACCTGGGTGCAGGGAGTTCTTCAAGATGGTCGCGGTGTTCAGGATACATGGGGATGGGCCGTTGGGCTTCAAACCCAAGGAAGATCATCGCAGACCTTCTTCATGCGAACTTGGAAGCTGCCAGGCACCTCATATCTGCCAGTGGGCGGAGCAGGGCAATGCCATCTTTGTCGAGCCTCTGCGGCGGGATGCTCCATCAGCCGGCGAGGCCTCAAAGCCTCCAGCAATCGGTTGAGCGAGCAGTATACTGGCGAGGAGGACGGTGATGACCTGAAGCGGGTTGTTGCCCTTTCGTTCAATTTGGGCGTCGCTCGAGGCAGTGCTCAGCTTGGACCGCGCAGACCGCGCAAGTCGGAGGATGGGGGCAGAGTCAGAGCATGGAGCATCGGCGGAGTTCCCCGGCAATGGTAAACGGAGGAAGTCACTGCTCTGCTGCAGGAGGTCGGGTTTGATAACATCAGGTTGCAGCGGAGGACCGTCAACCGTCAAGGGGCTTCATGGAGCTGTAGGGCCGGTCGGCCAGATGCACGAGACCATCTGGTGTTCAGGTTGGTGATGCTACCTTCTGTGTTGGGGATCACTCCCAAACACCGCAAATCTCACACCTTTGCAAACGGAGCGAGTGCAGTATGTCCAGGGCGGCAAGCAAGGGTCCAAAGGCATGTTTTCCCGCGGGCCCATCCATTGTCAACATCGACGCTGGCGCACCGGTCGCCCAGCAAGGACGCCCCGGACAGGATGACCAAAGTGGACATTGTGAAGGACGGCAACTGCCATTTTGCATCCATTGCTGTGGGAGTTACAACGACAGCTCAACCAAGGACTGCAGCGCAGATTCGTGCAGCATGCGTTGGGCGATGCACCGTCACCCTCGAAGCTATTGGAACTTCGTGGGACGGTCTTGAGCCGACTTCGGGCGAAAAGCCCATATGACTTGCTGCAAACCCTTGCCTTAAACTGGGGCTTGCGAGTTCTGCAGGCACCGGCCGGCACCTCAATCCTTGCTGAAATAAATGCTTTCTGTTTTGTCTTGATTTCGCTCCTTTCCTTGCTGCCCATTGTCGTCTGTCGTCTTCTGCTGCTTATTCTTCTTGCCGCTTGCTACGTGCTACGTTCTACGGCGGCTCTACGATTTTCGTTTTTTGCTTTTCTGCTATCCGTTTCTGCGTTCTCTGATTTTTGCGTCTTTGCGTTGCTTGTCACGCGCGGGATTTCAGCGGGAACTGAAAATGTGAACCCAAATCGCAAGTTATCCGAGCTATCCGCATGCTTGCAATGTTAGCTCTTTGCCCAGCTATAGGGTTTGAGGTACTTCGAGAGACTTAGGTCTGAGAATCCCGCCCCACGTCTCTCCAACATGTCGACAGCACCCCACCTTCAAAACCGCTCCGTGTTCAAAAAACAACGCCAACACCCAGCTGCAAACCATAGCCCGCGATACATCGAGACATTGAAAGCCTCAACTCCTTGGTGTTTTGCTGCTGCTCGGAAAAAAACAATGAACTTCGCCCCTGGCCGCCACCCCGTCTCTTTCCCATGTTGAATGCCGATAGTCCTGGTCGACATGTTGTCACACCTTCGGTGGGCAGTGTCCCGAACACATTACAAGCCAGAACGAGGTGTAGTTGCAGTAGATTGAGCACCACCAACGCTTGATCGTCGTCCTTGTTGGCATCTTGCAGATGCTTTCCACGGACAGGGCTGTCCGATTATTGCAACCTTGCAGACATGTGGCAAAACTGTTCCGATGGATAACCAGCCGACGCCTTTGCAGAAGTTGGTATTGTAGGCTACACAAGAAGCACAGCAACTCAGCTGCTCTAGAAACAAGCCAATGTGATAGATTTTGCATGTGGTTGGCTGGGCCTCTTCGGGTTGGCTGGGAACTTGTCTTGCGTTATGTGACTCTTAGCCCGACGAGGCTCGCCCAGAAAGTCCGATCGTGGGGTGGAAACGTCCATTGAGAGTCTGCTAGGTGGATTCAGCAAGCTTCAGGAGGCTTTCGAGGCCATGGACGTAAGGTATGCGGAGGCTTCCAGCAAAGCCGACGAGGACATGCTCGAGACTTTGAGTAGTTTGCGGTTCGCACGAAAATGTGGATTCAGGATTGAGGTGTTTCATGCGCTAGGACCGCTAGGACGTAATCTAGGATCAGGGACAGGGTTTTGGACGAAGGGGGCCAAGCTCGTGGCTCGTGTTCTGGGTTTTTGAGGACATGATAAAGAAATTGATCCTGACAAGCAGTGGCTTCGACGTTGTGAATGGTGCCGTCAAGACTCGCCTGCTCAAGTGGCTTACAGACGTGTTCCGCAAGCACTTGCTGAGCCAACCAGCGAAGTAAAAAGGTTGCTTAGCTTCTGGCTTCGGCTGCTTGGGTGTGTAGCATTTTCCATGGAAACTCGTGCTTTACACAAATTCAGTGCATAGAAAGCAGCCCTTCCATGAAGCGTGGGGATCTGCAGTCAAATTGAGATGCTGTTGCCCGGACATATCCGCGCATCAGGTCCAAGTCTTCACTCCGAACATATCGGATTTTAGAGTTTAGAGAGTGAGGTTTCGGAGTTGTGTTTTCACGACTTCGTAACAACCACTTCAAACGTCTTCATCTGGCAGTCCGAAATGTGAGAGTAAAATGCTCGCTCCGACACTTTGAAGTGGCATCGAGCACAAGCTCGAGGTTGAAAGAGCCCAACCACATGATGTCGGGCTTTAGCAACCAGCTGTCCCACATTGACCGACAATTATTGGAAGCTAAAATGAGCCTATTCACAAATCGTTTCGATACATATCAGTTGCCATAACAAGGTCATAGTACAGTACGATGTATGATAATTATGATTTGTGATATCTAAACCTCGTCTGACGAAGTCGAGTGCGAGTGAAAATAATATCCAGAAATTTTACATGTATTCGAAAATTCTAGTTCTGATAAGCACGAGTGCCAAAATATATTTATATTATGAACAAGCATGGAACAATATCGGGAGTTAAGTTCTACATATTCGAATTCAAATAATTCTTATTGTGCGTGGTCCGTTGTCGATCTTCGGGCGTTCAAAAGAACCAATACAAATGGATACACACGGCATGTCAATCTTCGCGCGTTTTCGTCCAACGTCTAGGATAACTATAAAAATTAAGACAAATGAGGATCATAGAATATGGAACGAGGAGAGAAGAGAATATGGAATATGGAACGAGGAGAGGAAGGAACGAAGAATATGGATCATGCGAGGAGGAGTGCAATGAAGAGATAAGAGATGAGGAGAAAGAGAGATATAGAAAGAAAATAGAGAAGAGAGAATAAAGACAAAGAGAAGAAAGAGGCAAAAAAATAGAAGAGAGATGAATATTAAGAGAAGATAGAATGATTCATAATTAGGATTGATAACTTTTGATTTCTATGATAAGTTTAAATTGATCATATTCTTTTAATTAAATTTCATTCTGCGATTTTATATTCTAAATATTTCAGATTCTATTATTTATTTCTTTATATGAAAATTATCGGTCGCGCCGGATTTTTTTAATATTTCGGATGAGGATGTATCAGGATATATCGTAAAAATACGAGAATCGGAATTTCATAGAAAAGATCGATATTTTCATTGTTGCGGACTAGGATATAATATAAAAATGAATCCAAATAAGAGATATAAATCATATCATAAATTCATTACTTTGATAAAGATGAGATTTTTAAATGATACTTCATTCTCCGCATATTTATGATGATAAAGATATTCTGACGGGGATAATCTTTCAAATCTCGATACTAAATATCCGAAACTATATGATATTTTTTATAGAGGAATTAATAGAATTTTTTTTTTCTAATTTCTTTCTGCCTATACCTATATATATATGAAGCCGATAATGAATATTTCGAATATACGATATTTTATAAAATATATAAAAATAATACGAAAGATATATCGATCTTCGCATATATATTTTAAAGATCTTTATTATATTACGAAAATCAATATAAATAAAATTTCGATTTTATCACGTATATCATCAATCGTCTAGGATAGGCTATATAATCTAATATCAATATAGACGATTTATCATAGAAATATCAGTCAAACAAATCGAAATGAAATTTGGGATTTATCGTCTTTCTATCGATCTCGGAGCTAATAAATTGCAAAAACCGATTTAAAAAAGATTTCGCTCTTCGTGCTTTTACTTCTCCATTCTGGCGGATATAGGGGAATTTTGATTGATGACCCCTATATATATATAGTGAAGCATTTATTTTCTCGATCAGAGGATCGCGGGATTCCTCTAATTTTATCGATCACCTTTCACGCCCCTATATATTTTTATATATACGAAATTATATCGATGTTCTCGGCACCTCGAATGCAGGATCCGTCGAAAGAAATAATACGAATAATATATTGATCTAGTTGGAATTTTATTTAGCTAGAACTCGTTTTCGAATCGATATAAAAATTGAAAGCTGGAGAAATATTCTATATATATATATCATATAGGAAATCTATGGACGTGTGGATGCGTGCGACATCTGATTCTTGGAGCCGGAAGAATTTCCTGGGAGATGACGATAATCAATGAGAATTATATTGAGATAATATTGATGGAGAAATCGATAGATTTTCGGATCAATAATCGCGTAATTTATAAATATTCGCAAAATGATATTCATTTTTCTTGAATAATATGATTATTATCTGATTTAATTTGGCATTTCGAGAGATATTCTATTTACGAATATTTCTATATTATATGAATGAATGAATATATATATATATATCTATTGATTTATTTAGAATTTTCTAGTAATCGAAATTTCTATCAGGGAGGACGAATGA